TGAGAAAGAACATAGGATAGTTTTTATCCCAGACTTTTGAAAGGTTCTCTTGGAAACGCGATATAACAGAACTCCACGCGGGCGAAGTTGCGGACGGAAAGCTAGTATATTATAATTATATTATTAATATTGTCGGTATATATATGATTTATGTGAAATTTTGCAGATTTCATAAGTTACGAAACGTATTAAAATTTAATTAATTTTAATGATTTAATAAAATTAATTAATGATTTATTAAGATCGATTAATAGGTTTAGAATTTTTTTATAACCTGTCCTTGATATAAAATACTCAAAAAATATAACGTCTATATAAAATCAAGCTAAAATTATTTGTATTCATTTGAAGGTATAGTTAGATATATTTTTATAATAATTAAAAGATTTATTTCATTCAAAATTAATAATGGAACCTTCTTTTTATGTTATAACTAATAAAACGTAAAATATTGACAAACTTTATACAGTATATAAATGAAGAAACTCTTGCAATTAATATATATTTATACTTTTTATTCTTTTTACTATAAAAAATTCTCTATTCTTATTACGTGTTCGTCAAACTCAAAACACACAGTTTTCTGTTCAAAACTATTCAATCACATACGAACAAAACAATAGTCTAAAGTCAAGATATACACATTTTTGTATAAATAAAATGTTCTAACAAAATCTCCGCGAAAATTAATTCGATGTGCACGTCACACCATTTATATGTATTATTTTTTAATTTACCAAAACCAAGAAGTATATTATAGAATCAACTATTTATAATTCTATGAGAAAATAAAAAAAAATGTTTTTTTTTTTATTTATTTTGACAAAATGAAATTTAATAATATTTTTAGTATATGCAAGGAATATTGAAAACAAAAATAATATTGCTTTATTAACTTTTGTGTATAATGTATATATTTTTTTCAAAACAATGCTCACGTTAAGCCAATTCTAAACTTCCGGCACTATGGCGTTTCCGGTGTTAGAAAAAACAAAATATCTTCTTGGTACTATATATAGAAACTTTTTGTTAAAGATCGCTTGCTGAATTTTAATTTACATAATAATAATCTTCTTAGGATGTATATATATTATATGCATATTTATAAGCAATACATATGGCAGATATTAGTTTAATTATAATATTTTTAGGTTCATAGGTTAAAAATTGAAAAAAATATGTTATTACGATAAATTTAATTATTTAAATAAATAGACTTTTTTATTAATTTTCACGTTTCTATCTATTCGGTACAAAAATTTTGGTCACTTGTTATATTTATAAAATAATGATTTTCAATTAATTTAAGCAAAACTCCTTTTCCATATAATATACTTATATGTATTTTAATGCTTGCACTATGTACATATAATTACACAAGGTCATAACAATGATATAATATACATATACATGTGTGTATACATACATATATATAAGAAAAGTGTCTTTGTGTGAGTTGTTCTACAAACAAATTAATTCTCTAAAGCCATTCTACAATTATTCTCGTATTAATACAACAAGTAGTAATTAATGTTTCTTTAACTTAACATAGAATATTTTCTAATTAGAAATGACGCCATTAATTTAATAGTTCTTATTAATGCTCAGTTAATAAGAGAAGTTACGATTTTTTAAATGTCAAATATTTATTGACAGGTGCAAAATCTTATAATTTCTATGAAAGAAATATTAAGATAATGAAAATATGTATTTAATTTCGTATCTGAATTATGGAAACTTATTTGCAAAACGAATATAAATATACAAAAACATAGTAATTTGATATAAAACTTTTTTTCATTCAAAGATTATAAATTTTAATCAGTAGTTCACACGATATAAAAAGACAATAGAAAAATATTTGTTCATATATAAAGGTATTAAATATTTGTAATACACAACGTAAGTAATTAATTATAATTTAAAGAAGAAAAATATCTTAATAATATTAAAATTATTGTAATAAATATGACATAAGACACTCGAAAACATTCTCAAGGCCGTCCGGGTGAAAAAAATAATATTGTGAAACTTCCAAAAGGAATAATTTATAGTCATGAGTTCCTCTTTATTTTGACCTTCTGAGTGATGTTTTTTTATTTGCCCCTATTACTGAACCGACTTATATCCTTATACGTGAAACTCAACCTTGTTCATTGTTCAATACTTTTAACTAGAATATTTATATGCACAAAGCTTTTAAGCAGAAAATTATTTCGAAAATATTTGCTTTCCAAACAGAAAAAATCTTATTACCCAAAATTCTTCTTATTTATCACTATAGATTTTAAACTTGAAATGTTATTGCAAACGTAAAATTATTACATATTTGTTTATAAATAGAATTATTCGAGGGTAAAAATTATCAAGAAAGAATTAATAATTAAAAAATATAACGATTCAAAACGAAGTACTATTTTTACTTAACATACTATTTAAAACTTGTTTAAAAACTAAGTTCTATCTTTATAAGTTCACCAATTATTTATTTTATCTAAATCTTCAATGGATTAGAGTTATTAATTAATAATAAATATTTATTATTAACTCACCAGCCGTGCAATCCCATCCAACTCAGAAGTAAAACACTTATATTTTAGGGATAATTCTTAACATCCTTTCATAGCTGCAACATTAGCCGTACCATTCACAAACAATTCAACCGATGCCGCGAAATCACAAAAACTAATATCATTTATGAAACATTATCTATAAAGACGATCACGACTTTTATCTGTTTCATACTTAAAGACGAGTTTTAACTAAGTTTCTTCTTTTAATATTATTTTTTTTCTGTTAAACTGTTTCGTTATTATATTTTTAGCGCGACCACCGCTCCCACGATTCGATTCGGTCACTGACTGTGACAGAATGAACACAAATCTTAACCTGCTCGGTTACATTTTTTTATGAAACGGAAAAAAAGTACTCAGCCAAGCGAATGAATGGAATATACTATTTAACTTACGTAACTGCAATATAGTTATGCTATTTTCTTTATCTGTTTATTTTATTTTATAATTACAATAATAACATGAGTAAACAATAATCTAAAATGCCATCTGTTGTCCCGAGAGCATAAAAAGAAGCAGAGCCATCTAGTGTATCACTTAATGACTAACTGTCGACATGACAACGTACCTTTGCAATATACAAGTTTCTTGTTTAAAAATAGTTTAAACTTAAGTTTGATAGATGGCGCTTTTATAATTTCTAAAAGGTACTTTTAATTGAATTTCGTCACATTTAATTTTGCCCATTTAATTTAAAGTTTTTTTCTGATAACTGTTTTTCAGAATACAATACATTTCTTTCTTATTTTCTATCTCTCTTCCTCTCATTTTATCGCCTGTTCTAAAGTATTTGTTTTAATTTTAATACATTGACAAATGAAGTAGGCACTGCAATCGTAAATGAGGTCGTATTTATTGTTGCTAGCTTAGGCGACTTTACATTTGAAGACTAAAATAATTGCTATTTCATTCATTCATTCCTTTTGTTAATCTATCAAATTAAATATTTCAATTATACCTACTGAAAAAGATTTCAATATTTTGACTAAAAATATAGATTATCTATTTATAAAAGCTATTTTATTAGCTAATAATAACAATATTATTACACCAACTGAATCTGCATTACATGTCAAATATGAAATGATGCGAGGAAAACATGAAGGACATATATTTTATGCCGCAAAGTTAAACACAACCGATATTATATTAAAATATTTACATATTCTGTATCGATTTTCTTTAATATAGTGAGTAATTGCATAATATACTGTTTATAAAAAATAAAACTAAAATAATTAGATTAGCAGATATATAATTCTATGTTTAATATGGATGTCAAAGACTATTATTCGATCAATTTATCAGATAATGATTTTAACAGAAATTTAAATATTTAAGCATTAAAGGATTTTTATTATGAGACGATATTCTAAAATATATACAGAGAAGAAACCTCTCAGAATTCAATGTATTCACAGTGCGGGTGTCGGGTCCATTGTTGTAGTGAGAGGAGCTTCAACAGTGACTGGTACTTGTGACCCAGGTGTAGGTTTAAGGTCTTTCTAACACCCGTAATATACGCTCACCTCTACTGTCCAAGCTCCTCTCTCTACCTAACCTTTGATACGAAACTATTAGGGCTGCCTTCGAAGTACGTTCTAAGAATGAATCAATATTTGTTCTTGATAGACCCAAGTCGTTTAACAGGTTGTAGAGAGTTTTAGCTGTTCTTACTCTCGCTCCTACTTCTACCGCGTACAAATCAACGACGAACCTATTTCGAGTTAGTTCGTTAGTGAGCTCGTAATACTTATTGACCTTGATGGCATGGTCTTTGGGGATGTATGTTTCCTAAGGAACCATCAACTTTATTGAACTTGGTTACTTGTAATCTATAATTAAACACGAGAAAGTAGTTTTATAACATTTTTATTTCAAATGTTGCAGACTATGAACTTCGCTATTTTAGTAGCAAACTGAAGGGTGACGTTGTCTTGATAGGATTTTTATTAATCCAATCACTTCTATGGAGATAGTAATGATGAAACTAATATTTATACCATCAAGCTAAGTCGCCAATCCTTTTTTACCCTTAAATTTCAATATATTATGAGCTAGGAGATATCTCGAAAATCTATTCTTCAATAAAAAAGTAGTACATATAATTTTTAATAGTTTTTTTAAACTATACATCTGTATCGTTTACATTACCTTTAATTTCTAGCAAGTGTACAACATCAGGAACATTACTCTCTTTACGCAAAAACACTAATAAGAAGTAGTGTTTTTATAATTTAATATTGTTGACTTTCAGTACGTTTTAAATAAAATAATCAAGCAAATATCAAAGAAAAGTATATAAATAAAAAAAAATATAAGTGCATAAGTAATACATACATATTTTTTATGTAATGAAACATTTATTTTTAACTTCAAACAGAAGTCTTTGGAATGTTAATGTAATTTTTCTATCCATATGTGTTACTATTTCCTTACGAAATACCAGTGGTCATTATAACCTGATCTTCCTCGACTATTGACGGGTGTTCCGCTACTAGTGGCAGCGTTACCACCCACAATTTTCGGGAATATCACTTCTTCATCATCATCATCATCAATAGTAATAGATTCATCAACATTTTCTCCATTATCCGCCTGATCTAAATATTGGTGAAGAATTACCTTAAGATCCCCCGGGTTTAGATTTAAAGTTAATTCTGGCTCACTATGACTCCTGGATTCTTCCTTAGCCGCTATTATTGCTGGTTCGTATAAATTTCTTCCTATTTCAGGTGAATAATCAAGTTTGACAGCGTGGTTTAGGTCAAGAGGGCTAATTTTGCCAGTAGCTGGGTTACATTGGCTGTTTTGGGTGCATTGATTCCCTTTACATTTCGGCAACAGAGTCATTCTCAATGGTATTACCCCTAGGATTCTTGGCGGGCGAGCTAAGCCAACGAAAACAGCCTCCAAATATGGGATGTCATGAGGTACAATGCATTTATGTTTCGTCATGATATGTTTGTAAACCGCTGGGTCACTTATCATAACTCTCTTTAGTATTAAGTTTGAAAGCTTCAACACTCTACCGTTTTCATCCAATAAGTCTCCCAGCTCTGTTACGCGAAAACCACTCTTAGTTATTAGATTAATAAGGAGGTATTTAAATCTCTGCACTTCTATATCATTGGGTAGTTTAAGTCCTAGTACATCGTTATCCACAACTTTAATTTGTTCAAGCAGCCACTCATTAAATTGCGGGCTGTTTGGTATTTGTATATCTTCGGGTGACGGAAGTATTACATTATTTTCTTCATCTAATATAAGGTTCAGGATATTTTGATTATTTTCTACAATTTTTTCATCATTTTTAGATGGTTGTGAAGGCAAATCTTCAATTATATCAATTCTAATATTTTCCTTAACAGGATTTGATGGGATTAATTCTGGTTCCTCGACTATGGTTAAGTTCAAACGAACATTATTATTTGGTTCCAACCGTTTTTCATGATCTGTTTGTCCTTTGTCACCTGGTATAATAATAAGGTGGTCAGGTGTTTGTACATTTTCATCATCATTTGTTTGTTCTTTGTCACCTGGTATAACAATAAGGTGCTCAGGTTTTTCTACATTTTCATCTTCATTTGTTTGTCCTTTGTCACCTGGTATAATAATAAGGTGGTCAGGTGTTTGTACATTTTCATGATCATTTGTTTGTCCTTTGTCACCTGGTAAAACAAAAAGGTGCTCAGGTTTTTCTACATTTTCATCATCATTTGTTTGTCCTTTGTCACCTGGTATAATAATAAGGTGGTCAGGTGTTTGTACATTTTCATGATCATTTGTTTGTCCTTTGTCACCTGGTAAAACATGAAAGTGAGGTACTCGTACATGTTGACCATCATGTGTATGTCCTTTGTCACCTGGTAAAACATGAAAGTGAGGTACTCGTACATGTTGACCATCATGTGTATGTCCTTTGTCACCTGGTAAAACATGAAAGTGAGGTACTCGTACATGCTGACCATCATGTGTATGTCCTTTGTCACCTGGTAAAACATGAAAGTGAGGTACTCGTACATGCTGACCATCATGTGTATGTCCTTTGTCCCCTGGTATAACATGAATGAGAGGTAATTGTACATGTTGACCATCATGTGTATGTTCTTTGTCACCTGGTATAACATGAATGAGAGGTAATTGTACATGTTGACCATCATGTGTATGTCCTTTGTCCCCTGGTATAACATGAATGAGAGGTAATTGTACATGTTGACCATCATGTGTATGTTCTTTGTCACCTGGTATAACATGAATGAGAGGTAATTGTACATGTTGACCATCATGTGTATGTTCTTTGTCACCTGGTATAACATGAATGAGAGGTAATTGTACATGTTGACCATCATGTGTATGTTCTTTGTCCCCTGGTAGAACATGAATGAGAGGTAATTGTACATGTTGACCATCATGTATATTTCCTTTGTCACCTGGTAAAATATCTAACTGAGGTTGTTCTACATGATGATTATCATCAGGTGTATGATCTTGTTCATCGGTTGGTTTTGTTGGCTCGGATTCATTTTCTGTTTTCTTTTCATGTTCTGTAGGTTTAGACGGTTTGAGTATTGTTTTATTGTATAGTTTTTCTGGTTTCGGTAATATAATTGATTGTGATAAAGTTGATGGATTTTTGAAAATCTCAAGTAGATTGTATAGGCTGGGAAAACCGTATTTGTCTGTTTTTCCAACCGTTAAATCCGGAAATTTGTCTTGTTTTTCTTGATTTGGTACATAGATGGAAACAGATCCTGAATCCTGATGTTTGAATAGATAAACCACTCTTCTCTCATATCTGCCATATTTCGAGGCTAATTCTGAAACGCGTGGTTGCTGACTGTCTTTTGGAAAGCAGGCACAATCTTTAAACAATTTTGTATGAAAAAATGTGTGATTCGTTTTCTCTGAAAACAAAGTATACGATTTTAATGAATAAAAACTAATAAAATTTAATATTTACCTTCGATTTAGTCTAACCTCACGTTAACAGCCAAGACAGCAATACAAATGATTATGATCTGAAAGTAGATATATTTTATTTTAAGCTATTTACTATTCTTACATCATTAAATATTATGCTCGTCAGCTCAAAGTATCAAATACCTTATGGAGCTCCATACTGGACTGAAAGCCTTCAAATCAATTAAGTCCCTGCGTACTTCTCATATTTATAATGAAATAAATAATTAGATAAAATTGTATTAAAGCGAAGAGCAATTAACTGTAACAAATTAATTTACATGAGTTGATAAAAACATTAGTACGGTAACTTGTGAACACTGAAAAATTATGTTTTGTTCGTTAAATTAACCGTGTATGCTATTTATTTTGGACATGGCTTATTTCAAGAATTTAGGAAGTACTTATTGGACCTGAGTTGGGTTCCAGGATTAAAAACAATTAATTGTCCTTCCATTTGGAGATGTTATGGTCACCATTAGATCTTCGAAATATTATTCTAGTTTTTAGATGGTCAACTACTAAATTTCTAACATTAGAATATTTTTAATTTTTTTTAATTTTATTCGTCCATTTTACGTGGTGAAATACTTGTTCATATGTTAAAACACTTTTCACAGGGTTTCCCAAAAAAGAAACTTACTGAATTCATATGATAATTAAAGTCAAACATTTAAAAAGAATATTCTGTCTCCTTAAGTGGTCATCTACTGGTACTTTTACCTTATTGGATCTGAGTTGGGTTCCAGGATTAAAAACAATTAATTGTCCTTCCATTTGGAGATGTTATGGTCACCATTAGATCTTCGAAATATTATGTATTATATCATATAAAATAGAGCAATCTCTGAAACAGAATGTAAAAGTACTTTCTGATTTATCTTAACGTCTATTACAAGTACTTCAATACTTACGGAGAAGGCTACAAAGTATATTTTAAAAAAATCTATACCGATTGTTTATTAATATTTGTATATCTTCAAAAACTTTGTAAGTCATGTTATTACGGTTTTGGTTAATATGGTTTTACGCTGTGATAAGATTTGAACCTCTTAAATTTTATTATTCTTCGTGAACAAGTTCTACCTAATATTTAAAGTGGTATAAGCATGGAAAACCAACTCATTTCTCTATTTTTTATTCCAATGTAATGCTTTTTACGTAATCGGTTCCAATAGTAAAAAATAATAATAATGATAAAATAATCATTACATATGTAGTTGTCATGATATAAATATACATATTTATCAATACAACAGAACTTTTTGCTCTTAATGTATCATTTAGTATAATGTCAAATTTGTTCTGTCAGATTGAATATCGTAAATAAAAAAATGGCCTCCCGTTTCTTGCTGAACCCAATAAAATATTTAGAAGGGGATATCCTGACCAATGTAGGCCGAAATCGAGTGTGCTCCCGAAATATGTATGATTGGAGTGGAATCAATATGCTTATACGGAACAGAGATAGAAGAGCTAGTATATCTCTGCAGGTGAGATATAAGAGCTATTCAAACCCTACTGGAAATCCGGGATGTGGGGCCGGCAGGGGCGGGGGGGCTGGTGGCTCGGTTAGGGAGTCTGGAGGTGGCTTGGGGCAGTTTGGGGCAGCGCAAGAAGAACAGTTCTTCTTCAACAAACAGAGAGAACAGTTGAAGGCCATAAAGAAGAAGATACTGGAAAGGAAAAATTTGAAGCAGAAGAAGGAAAAGTAGAAAAATGTTGTGAATGAATGAATACTTAATTATGGAAAAATAAATGTATTTGATTAATTTATTGTATTTTTTTATGGATTTAAACATTAAGATTTATATATGAATTGTGAGCAAAACTATCAGGTAACAGCTTTTCAATCGTTCATTATTATCAGAGCCCACTGTTGAGCAAAGGCCTCTCTTCACATGTTGAAGGTTTGAGCATTAATCATCAAACTTATATTTTGAAAATTATAAATCTATGTTTCCTCAAGATGGTTTCCTTCATCGCTTGACAGTGGTGTCGAAATACTCTTAGAAAGTACATATGACTTGGAAAAATCACATTGGTACTGCCCAGGTTTCGAACCCGCGCTCTCATGCACGAGAAGCGGGTCTTTAACTTCTAGTCCACCCACGACATTAATACCATTCCTTTCGACCTTTTAACCATTAATACTCTAGTACACGTGACCTCGTATGTGTATCTTATTGTAAGGAGATTTCATTCCAAACGGACTCGTCTTAAAATTTGTCTTTGATTAGTAAAATCTACAATATTTTTAATCTATCCACTTGTCATTAAAGTCAAGAAGAAGCAATAGAATTTAAATTAAAATGTGAACTTCAACATGTGGAACAAAATTTATAAATATCAGTAAATAATCGTAAAATAAAAAAGATGTTCAAAATTATATGAGAAAAATAGAATGGAATGCAACAAAATGGTGAAATTTTTCACGCAAATATATCCGAGACGGGCGTTCCCACATTGTTGCTGTTATTTTCAAGGCTTCTCTCATTCCAAGATAATACGAGAGATTATTCAGAAAAATCTGGTGCCAAAGGACCATCGAAGGTTGAGCAAATTGAACAAGTTAAAATGCCAGGATTCGTTCACCCCCCGACACTATCAATGAAGAAGGTTACTTCACGCAGAGAGCTAGACAGCAGTTGGAAGAATTGAAGAAGAAATTAGAAAAACCCAAAGTGGAGAATACGGAGAAGAAGGAATAGAGAAATTAATAGAATTCAGTGTCAACAATGATCCCAAAAAAAACTTAATATGACGCAAAAAAGGAGCTTGTATGTCATACCCACTGTCAAAGGTAGAAATCATTTCATTTTTGTTTCTTTATATATGTGATGAAATTAAATTTTTTTCAATGTAATCTTTGTTCTTCATAGTGAATGGTTTTTTATATACTAAATAATGATGAATCATACATATAAAACCACATTCTTGAATGGAACGTGATAGCGTTTTTTCATACATAATTTGTATTAAGACAATTAAAACAATTGCTCCTGATATTGGCCTTTTAATTAGTTTTTTGATCCCGTATAAGATAATCATTGCGGTGTATTGGTAGTCGGAAAAAAAAAAAGACCACTTGTTATCATATGTACGTATGATCTGGGAGTCTGTAGATAATCTCGTGGTTCGGCGTCACGCTGGGTCCGTACACTGCTTCTGGGCAAACGTATGTACGGTCAGCATGAAATCGATTTAAATATTAATATAAAAAAAAAATTGTTTTATTATGAAACATTATTTAATGTTTAATTGAGTCAGACGTTACACAAATAATTGGTTTAGTATTATAGTTTAATAAATGTGAAAGAAAATATATATATTTAAATATTGATAAACATGTACAATATTCCAGTGTTTTTCCTTACTTATTTGGCAGCTAAGTATATTATAGTAAATACAGAAATCTAGAATGCATGTTTGTTTTTGCTGTCTGTACACTTTTAACAGTGACAGTGAGGTCCCAATGTGATGGTTCAACTGGCTGTCACGAATGTCTGTCTGTCTGTTCCGAAGAATGTCAGAAATAAATCATCAAAAACCCTTACACTCAGCTAATATCTTATTTGTTTAATTCAATGTAAGAATTTGTTTGTGGCATTTTTATACATTTTCTTTATATTTAATCATAAGTCCAAGGCTAAAATATCACTAATATTATATTCTTATTTTGTCTGTTTATTCATATCTGGAATTGAAAGAAATTAGTTAATGACTTTTTCTTTCTTTGACAATTTTTTATTATACCTAATAATAGACTTTAATATTGTTAAATATTACATAAAGTATAGGAACAGGTGATTAGCGACTCTATAAAGAATACAAAAGTACGTTAATACTGTGTTACTGTACTTTAGTACACGATTTACATGTATTATTATATATATTCCTTCATCAGCCTATCAGAGGCCATTGCTGAGCAAAGGCCTCTTTCTCACATGGAGAAGGTTTGAGCATTAATCACCACGCTTGCTCAAGACGGGTTGGTTATTTCAAACTTATAATTATGAAATTATAAGTCCAGGTCTCCTCGCGATGTTTTCCTTCATCTGTCAGTGGTATCTAAATACTCTCAGAAAGTACATATGACTCGAAAAAAATCACATTGGTAGGTACTTGCCAGGATTGAACCCGCGCTCTCGTGCATGAGAGGCGGGCCTTTTAACCACTAGATCACCAGTGAATTAATTAATGTTTTTATTATAAGTTATTGAATATTTTCTGTGTTTGATTTAAATATTATATTATTCATTCTAAAGCTATGATTATCATGGTTTGTAGATTTTTATATACTTGCAAATTAAATATTGTATGAATCAGAAGTTTCTATTTTGAGAAGAAAATTACAATTAAGACTACATATCGTGCATAAATACTTGATTATTTTTAGATCTGGTGTTATAAATGCAATATTTTGGTAACATTAAACGAAATCTCTACAACATGGCGAATTTATATCATAATTTTGCGAGTTTAAATTGTTTAAGACTTTGTTTATTTATATTAAGTTTATGTGACATATCTTATGTAAAGTTTTTTAAATTATTTGGATTGCTTTTGAATGTAAATCACGTATGATTCATTTTAAATTGTGAGTTACAAGTCGTAATATGAAGATCAGGTTTCTTTTACAATAGAAGCAAAGTATACCAGTCTTGATGTCAAGTGATCGTATCTAATTAAAATGCAATTTTTCATAGAAAAAATAGTGTTAATCTTAAAGATTTTTGAAATTTGAATTCATCTAAACTATAATTATTTATTACAAATTTCTTTTTATAACAGGTACTTAATAAAATCTAAAAATGTGTATAAGTAAAATCTTATAATTTTAATTTAACCATTAATTGTTAATATTATCCAAAGTAGTACTTTTAAATAGGTTTACTGATAAAAACTTGTTAAATAAAAAACAGTTTTGTTAATAATATGTTATTAAAAATATAGAGATAAATAAATAATAAAATAAAAAGAGAGGTAATACAAGTAAATTAATAAGAACTGTTTTACAATTCACGTGGTGAAGATAATTTTTTAAATTAAAAATGAATAATTTATCATTTTGAAATGATTTTTGATATAGGTATAATTTGATTTTCATTAAAATTTTATATCACACATTCAAAAGCAGGAAAAATTTTGCAATAACATGAAATTTTGTTTAAGTTTCATGGAGAAGTTTCTATTTTTTGTTTTTATTTTGTAGTAGCCTAAATAGCCTGATCACCTAATAAAACTTGTTGATTCTATTATCAGTATTTATTTTACAACAAATCTAGCTAGGCCTTAATAGCCGTATGTACTATAGTTATATTTTGATTCTTTGCAAAATAACTTTGAGTTGAAAGTTTAGTTTAGTAGTTTTATAATTTAGTGACATATTCCTACTTCTGTTCAAATCATCGGTGTTTGTAGACATCAAAAGGTAAAACCGTGATCTGCCGGTGGTCACTCACAATACGTAACGTACCAACAAACAAACACAGTTCATGCTTAAATGCATATCCATTACACAAAATACTAATCCAGCTTACTTACTTTTAGAGAGTACTTTGAAGAAAAAAAGCGGCGCCTTTCTTGAGACATATAAACTCACACCGCCAATATCCTTAGCAACACAAAATACATTGCATTTTAAATTGTATTTTCTTAAAAATATAGTATAATTTGCAATGATATATATTAAGTTATTTTTTATTCTTAAACTTTTGAATCCGAAGCAATATTTTATGGTCAAGTGAGGTTATTGTGGAAGTGTGGAGACGTCTCTCATCAGGAGTTGAAGCGATGATGAAGAAAACGCGATTATGTTTTGGTAATGTACCAGGATAGAAGAACTTCAACTATACAATTATTTATATAGAACACTTTCTACTTGTATGTTATTGTATTTATTCAATGGTATATCTTAGCATCCCATCGAAAAGATAAAGCAGTGATTGAAATAAAAAATATATAGAAAAAAGTATGTTTTATTTATATGTATCATCTATTATTCTATCTTCTTCTTCTTCTACGTGTAAATTTCCCAGCTATAGCCAGGGTCTGCCTTATATGTTGTGAATAGTTTTGATTATTTGTTTTTTACGACCGGCTGCCTGCCTGACATCAACCGTCTTTGGGAAATATTCTATCTTATTATATGGAAAAAACTTTATAAAAAACCAAATGTAATTAAAATAAGATCTTTTTGATATACTTTTAAACTATTGTAAAAACTTAGTTTTTTCTATTTCTCTGAGTATTACGATAGTTGCTTAATGCTAAATACTAATTACTCCATTCATCTCGTTATATCTATTTTTTAATCAAAGTATATATAGTTATTTTCATTAATCGTAATAAAAAGTTTTTAACATCGGAACATTTCAAACCGTATCCCAATATTGGGTTCACAATACATCTGCTTGGGAGGTTTGCATTTTTCATCGGATAATCCTAGCATTATCACTACGCTAGTTACTTTGTCGCGCCGACGCACTCAACACACTAATACTTGCGATTTATAAAGAATACACTATATTCTAATACACCGGTGTCTATTCAAGCCTATTTTTTTGTTCACCACATTATATTGACTATCTGTTGGTAGCGTTCCGTATATATCGGTGTATCAAAAGGGTGTGCAACAAAAGCCACTGATTCGCCTTCTTAACGAGTTTCGTTAAATATATAAAAACTAATTGATATTTCAATGTGAACGGTAGTGAGAGTTCAAAGAAGCGGTGTCTTTTGATATAGGACACCTCTTGTTCGTGTTTACTACGAGTATGTTAGTGATTCATCTTAATTGACACAGAGGGCGCATTAACTGTACTCTTTACTGTTACTGTTACCGACGTTGGTATATAAATAAAGATTGCAATGTGATTTACTCTTACAAATAAAACTTATTGATATAAACATTTAGTAAAATATATAAAGAAAATGTTAATATTCATTGACGACGTCAAAAAGTCAGCGTCATAAGAGCTTTTTGATTGAAAAAAAAAAACATTGATGACGATGGTCAATTTAATTTTTTTATGTATTTTCATAAAAGTTAAGTCATAATATTAACTTCGTCATGGTTATTCTGAATAACCTTGATAAAAGTAACAAATAGTATTATATATATATATATGAATATATATATATATATATATATATATATATATATATATATATATTATCGGATTAATACATATAGGTAATATACATCACTCGTAAGGATATGTAATAAATGTAGGAAAATGTAACAACACAATAATAAAATCACTTCTTAATCACACCCCAGAAACATACTTTCATTTTACATATAGTACAAAGTTCTTATTTTTGTCTTCTTTTTTTTGCTTTTCAATAAAAAAGAACGTACAATACGAAGTTTAATATGCTTACTACAGGTTTACTTTGTCAAACTACATACGTTACGTTTTCCAAATACCACACCTAATACTAATATGATAGATTTATGAAATAAACATATTTAAAACGTATATAGTGACGATGCCAACTTTTTAAGCCACTGAATTTTGAGCATTGGTAACTTTACTGTGAAAACGATGTTTATCAAATCAGTATTTATTAATTCAGTCTGTTTTGCCAAAATCTCCAAAGCTCGATACCGCATACAAAAACCCTTGCAGATAAATGACTTTATGGTAAGCGCTATTTTACCAATTACTTATAAAGAATTGGATGATTTCAATACAAATGGCTG